TCTCTGAAATTTGTGCAAGGGTAGTCAGTGATCAGTTGAAAGCCATTTATCAGACCTGCACTGAAAAGAATAAAATAATTCTGAATAGTTTTAATATTGCTTAAGTACTATGATGTATATTGACGGTATGAAAAAATTAAGATTAAAATTAAAAGCTATTTTATGGATGAAGAACTCTGTAAAATAAGCCCTAACATAGACATTCCAATTGTTCTTTTCAAAAAGTTAAGGATGTCTGTAAGTGCCTTGGAAAAGATCACATTAAATAAGAATCTTAGACCTCTATTATAGTACATAATTGTTGCTGCTCAGTGTATTTCAGTTCACATCACCCTGCTCCCAGATGATCACCCAATTATAATACCTAAAGTAATTCAAAAAATAACCCTCTTTCTGGTACATTTTGATTCATGTTTATTTGCTCTAAGTTCCCTTCCATTTATTCTATTCCTCCTATTCTACTCGTTCACTTCTCAATTCCCATGTTTGCAACATCTACTCAAATTCCTATTTCTTTTGCATGTACATCAGTATGAGTAGTATTAAAGTGCCGAGATATCCCAAATTAGTATGATTTCCAACCAAAGATTACGGACCCAACAGTCGAGATACTTCCACATAAGACCGTCACAGCCAAAAAAAGGCTTAATCTGTGACTTTTTAATGACCACTTAGCAGGGGAATCCCCTTGTATATGCAGAGGACTGAGGCAGAAAAACAGATATAGAAATGGATGTGGATGGTCAGTTCTTTGGTAGTGTTAATTATTTTGCATGTTAGAATCTTCTCTGACTGTATTAGGGAGAGAAGATCTACACTTAACTTCTCTAGAAAGGTGGGTAGAATTTTCTGAAAGCCTGAAGAAGCAAAATTTACTCTCATCATTGTTACTCACTACCATTAGGGGCTGAAATGCAGCATTTGCCAAGAGCGCAAGTTCTTGTATTTCATCTCTTTGACTGTACCAGTATAACTGCCAATCACAAAAAATACCTCTAATAACTCTTCCTTTTACTTAATAAGGAATACCACATCTTTAAAACATTAGAAACAGATGTCACTGCATTACTTCACTGCTGATGTATGTAATAGAAATGACACACTAATTAATTTAATGCAGTATAAATGTACTGATTATTTATCATGGCTGACAATAAAATTATGAAAACATTCAATTACAATCAGTGGTAATTCATTATTTATTGATTCTGCATTATGCACACATTAATACAATACATTTAATTACATAAGAGAAGGGATCATTTTTCTATTGATACTTAGACATTTAGATTCATCAGTTTTATTTAAAATCCTTGATGTCTAGGTGGGAAGTTTTAATCCACAATTCAAAAAAAAACCTTTACTGAAATGTCAGAAATAAATTGAATACAAGTGTCAAGTACTAGTGAGTCTAGAAAAATGTGGGCAATAAGAGTGACATACTAATTTCAGTCTCTTCTTTTTCTCACGTCAGTGGCCTACATTTGTTAATATAATCATGGTTACATTTTCCCAAGTAAACTAAATCATTAAACACTAAACTAGAAAAAAATTAATAATTTTCTTACTTCCTTTCAAGCCTTAACTGGAAATTATTGATATCAGTGGTTTGCATGCTCATGATATAAACTCAAAGATGACTATGGAAAGTTAAAAGCTTTAGATTGGGCCCTGAGTAATTTTTTTGTTAAGAACTAGGAGAATATCATTGTAACTAGAACTCCAGTCAGGCTGAAATTCAGAAAAAAATGATGTTCCATTTTATTATGAATAGGGTGCATTATAAATGTTTATCCCTCACATTTATTTTAGTGAAGATCCAAGTTCTTCACTAAAAACTAGCATTTTCTCCTATAATCTACTAACATTGGACATACTTATATCTAGTCTATTGAAATTTTTTTATGGTAAAAAAAGAAATCAAAAATCGCATTGCAATATCTACAGAATTCCTTTTTTTTATTGTCTTGTCTCATGTTTGGCTACACAAACATCACTATCAAGCTTTCCAGTATTCTAGAAACAAAATTATTATTATTTTTAATTCATTCCCTACTGTTTCACTAAAAAGCTGTTATTATTTTTTATCATTGTCTCCTCCTAGTCAATTGTGTTACCCATCATTTTCTCTATAGGATCCCTGTGAGCCAGTAGCCACATTTATGCCAGCTGGCAATAAGTAATTTCCAGAAAGCTGTTGACTGGCCCTATCTGGAATGACTGGGGCTTTCCACTCTTCTCCTGTGTCAGAAAAGAGCTCTTTCACATTTCACTCCAATGGGGCATATGTAATGATGATAAAAACAAAAACAAACAAATATAACAGAATCTTTGCTTGACATTTTGCCATACAAACACAGCCAATTTTTATATAGGACTAATATACAATACACCAATATTTCTATAGCTGACAGTGTTAAGAAAACAGAGTATTTTGCAAACCACTCCAAAAGGAACACAAATATTTAAACTTTAATTTTAAATAAATATTTTAAAATAATTATTTCAGCTATAGGAAGGCTTATTAGTTTGCACACATACAAATTACATACTGCTGGACTCCATTCAAATAAACCATCTGGATACTTTATAACTGACAAGATATTACTGTATGATTGTTAGGCTTCAGTAACTTTGCCTTGTCTTTTAATAAAATTGCAGAAAAATAATAATATTCATTGATATAGTTGTTTTGTATATGCTTAGTTGAACTGGACAGCTGCTGGTATTAATTCTCAAACCTTGAGCATTTTCTTAGTTTAAGAGCAGTTCTTCTCTTCATGGATAGTCGCCTCTCAAGGGTACTGTTTTTACTACAGCCTTTATGATTTTATATTGCTTCATGCCACTCCAACTTGCTGGGTGTTGATGCGCAAGGCTTCCTCTGGCCTTGCAAAAATTCAGTCTTATTTAGAAATATGTTTAGCTTATGGAAGACATTAAAGTCAAAACGGAAAAAGAATTCTCACAGTGGAATTTGATTGTCACATTAATCTCAAAGCAAAAAATGTCTTTAAAAGGGCAAAGCCAATGAGAAATGTTTAAATCTGATTTATTATATCTCTTAATAGCAATTATATCCAGTAAATTAACCCCCCAAAGTTTCTATTTCAAGTCAGTTATTTGTTATTTTATCATTTCCAGCATGTAGAAATCTCAAATGAGTTCAGGGCTCAATTGTACTCAACACTTTGCTGAAGTAAATAGCCCCTGCCCCACAGAGCTTCAAATCTAAGGTTCTGATCCTAGAGAGATGCATGAACTAGTTTAGGACACATAAGCATTTCTATTGAAAGCTATTCATTTAAACCTAGAAATACTACCTTAGTTTTAGGCAGCTAGGCAAGGGGCCTAAAACAAGTGGCTAGTCTTCTTAAACACACATGTGATCAACAGAGAGAAAGTGAGGTACCCCCAGGGTGTAATTTAGATCATTTAAGTTTACAAATATAGCAATTTAGTTAGCATACAGTCATCTCCCCTCATCTAAAATGGCATTACTCATAATGCAAAAATATTAAACTTTGCAGAAAGGATGCCTAAATAAGAAAGCTTAACAAAAGGAAGAAGATAGAACAGACAAGCAGTTTGATCATAGTTACTTGGTATCCACTTGAAAAGTTTTGTTTATACTTTTCTGCTTGTTTTGTTTATACTGTTCTGCTTGTTTTGTTTACCGAATGCTTTAGAGGGAAGCTAAAAAAAGGGGGGGGGGGAATGAAGTTAAAGGACTAGAAAAGAAAGAAAGATAAAATAAGAGTGAAAAAAGTAGAAATAAGCAGGAAAGAAGGATATTGATACAAAGGAAGAAAGGGAAAAGGCTGGGAAAAGAAGCGAAATGTAAGTACACTGGGAGAAGGTAAGAAGCAAAATAGCCAATTTAGCCAGTGTGTCCTGGCTGCTGCTGGGTGCTTAACTGTCAGACTCAACTGCTTTATATGAAATTTGCCTGGCCATCTTTTGGGTCTGCTTGTTCAGGGAGAAGGGACACACAAAGCTGTGCAGTTCTTGTGTAAACTGACCTGGTACAGGTGAAGGAGACATAGGATCTGTCTGGTCCCCAGGACTGAGCAAGGTTTTACTTGTATGCAACTGAACGAGGTACCACATGGTGCTTCTGGAGGCTGCCTTACAGTCAGGCGTGAGGAGACGACTGATGCCATTGTACCTGTAACACAATCGATAAAGCACTTGAATCTGGAAATTTCAAGCAGTTACACACAAGACGTCCCGAGACGGGACTTTGCCTCCTGTGACTGATCACCAGCCCCCACGCCTCACAACCTCCCTTCCTCCTGCTGGCGCGGGACACGCTCCCTTCTCTGGAGGGGCTTCGTTGGCTTGAGACCTGATTCACCTGCGATACGCTGCCGCTGCCTCCTCCGTCTATTCACAGAAGAGTTGCTTTCGCATTAAGTGGGAAGTCAGAAGTATTATTTACCTAGCGGGGACTCGCACTGCTACCCCCTCTCCCCGATTTCTTTCAGCTGCGGCAGGGCACAGGTGTTTCAGCCCTCAGGAATGTACCAGAGCGCAGCGACCGCTGAAACTACCCGAGAAAGGGGGACGGCGCCTGGACCTCGAGCGGGCCGGCCCCAGACTTGCCCTCCTCTCCCTCAGAGAGACGGGGCCGCTCCCGCGGGACCCCCTCCCGGCCCAGGGAGAGTCCACCGAAACTTTCCTACCCCGCGGCACAGAGAGGGAGTTTGGCGGGAGCCGAGGAGAAGCGCGAACCGGGCGATCTCTCCTCACGCACCCGGCCCGGCCGCCTCACGCCCCTCGCCCCAGGTGCTGCGGCCGGCGCTGCCCCGCCCCGCCCCGCCGCCCGGCAGCCACTCGCCGAGGCCGCGCTGAAGGCGGGCGGGGCGCATTGGCTGGAGGGCGCTGTCACTCTTCCCCCTCTCGCTACCCCCCCCGGCGGCGCTGGGGAGGGGTCTGGGCGCGCGGCTGGCGGCGGCCGCTGCGTGTGGGAGGGCGGGCGCGCGGCTCTGTTTTTAGTAGTACCGCAAAGAGCGCGGGGAGAGAGCGCGCGAGGGGCGCGAGGCTGAGGCGAGCCACCGCGCGCCGCGGCGAGAGCCGGCGCTGGCCATGGCTGTCTCCGCGCCGCCCGTCATCGCCGCAACTTCCAGCGGCGGCGCAGGGGGCTCGGCGGGCTTGTTCCGGGCGGACCCGCTGTACTCCAGCCCCGCGGAGTCCCCGCGCCTCACCAACAGCCTCGTCAACAGTTTCCTCTCCGCCGGCAGCGGCGGGGCCGGCGCGGGTGGCGGCGGGGGCGGCGGCAACGAGTGTAAGATGGTCGACCTGCACGGGGTGAAGGTGGCCTCGTTCCTCGTGGAGGGACAGGAGCTGATCTGCCTGCCGCAGGTCTTTGATCTCTTCCTCAAGCACCTGGTGGGGGGGCTGCACACGGTCTACACCAAGCTGAAGCGGCTGGATATATCGCCGGTGGTGTGCACGGTGGAGCAGGTCCGCATCCTGCGGGGGCTGGGGGCCATCCAGCCCGGCGTCAACCGCTGCAAGCTCATCACCAGGAAGGACTTCGAAACTTTGTACAACGACTGCACCAACGCGAGGTGAGTCGCAAAACTTTGCTCTTCCTCCGCCGGGAGCCGTGGCCGGGGTGGGGGGCGCTGGGTCCCGTCCCCGCGGTGGGCTGGCGGGGGAGCCCCGGGCTGGGCCGGGCCCGGGCTCGGGGGCTGGCTGGGGAGTGGGGCCGAGGTGCGGCGGGGCCGGCGGGGGAGGCGAGCACCGCGGAGGTGCCGGCACGGAAAACTTTCCAGGATTCCTCCAGCCCCCCGAGCGGGCAAGGACCGCCGAGCGGAGGGGCCGTGCTGCCCGCCGGTCTGCAAACTTTTTCTCTAGCTAGGAAAGCCGGTAGGTCGCGTATGCGCTCCGAAAAAAAAAAAAAAAAAAAGACACCTTAAACTTTTCTCCGTTATTTTCCTTCCGCTGAAACTTGGAGTTCTCCTCGGATCCCTCGCTCCCGGCGGGCGAGCGCAGGCTGGCGCGGCAGATGCCCGCCGGGGGAGGCTGGCCGGCCGACGGGCAAACTGTTGCTCCGTATCGCTCCGCAATAATTTTGCGTCATGCGATGGAGGGGTCTGGTGTGGCCGTAGCCCCTGCCCTGCCGTGCTTAAATCACTGAGCCCGGAGCGGGTTGTATTCATGGGAGATCCCTGCTGGGTCCTTCGTACTTGGGGTTATAATCCCGGTTTGTGACCTCATAGCTACTGCCTTTAGAAATGATAATGATCTAATAAACACAAAAACCCTCTCGGGGCTTATCAGAAATACATAGTGTGGGATGTAAGGCAGGGTGTTTGGCGATGACATTTCCTAGTTTAGCAGTTCGTGAGATACCTTTTCAGAGACATTTGCATTTCAGTGTGCTCCTCTGCTCTCCGTCTGGCAGGAAACTTTCTTCACAGAGGTTGTTTCAGAGAGCTTTGCGTGCGAAATGTGATTTGCAGCACGCAAATATTTAGTGACTTTGTTTTTTGTGTCACTATTTCTCACTGTTTAGGACTGAACGTGTTGAGTAGGTTTGGTTTTTTTTTGTTTTTTTTTTTTTTTTAAAATATCACCTTAAGTACGCACCAGTTTGGGGCCTGATCCTGCTGCGAGTTTAAGCAGGAGCAGACCGGCCGTCCATTCTTGAATTAGCGGTATTTGTTTTGTTTAAAATTATTTTCTGTTAAAGGTGACATTTTGGAGATGCTTGCACTCAATTCCTCGATGTGTTTATTTGAAGTATGTTCTTTTTCCTCTTGCTTATGTTTGGTTCCTGTAACACCTTCTTCCGCTGCCTATTTCAATGTCATGCACCTCTGTGACATCACGACTACTGCCTTATTAAAATGATGGTATTATAAATAAGGTCTGAGACTAATGTATTTGAACAAAACTAAGTGTACTAAGGGACACATTTAACATGTAAGTGCTTCTCTGAAATGTTCCTAAAACTCGACTAGTGTGCAAATTGACCGTTAAAGAAATAAATTGTCTTAATTTCTGTGACTGTGCCAAAGTTTTTTCCTTAGGGAAATACAGGATCTGATTCGATGATACAGCCTTTAGATGCAAACTGATGATTTCTGCCCTCTTATAACCTGTGATTTAAGATAAAGAAATGCTGAAGTGTTAAATGTTTAAAACTTGTATTTCACGACTTTTTTTTCCCCTTTAACAAAGACTTATGGCTGTGATAGGATAGGGGAATAAGTAATTCAAGGAGCAGCTGGGAAGGGAGGCCAGGGGAGCTGTAAGTGAGGAGCCGAGTGATGCTCTTGGAGGGCCTGAAAGGAGCAGTCAGTGGAACGAAGACCTGGTCAAATGCTGCAGATACGGCAAGAGCACTGTTGAGGGGGATCTAATAGGGCAGAAACACATCTGAATGGAGTCGAAGCTCTCAACTCATTCAACACGTGTGTAAGCGCAAACTCTCCCTGACTAGTTAGGAAAACACTATGTAGTTTTACCTATTCAGGAATAGCAGATCACTTTACATTTCCTAAAATGTTTCTCATTTATTGGGACATTGCTCAAGCTTTGTACCTTTTGAAAATGCCACTGGTTTGAATAACCTACTGATAGCAATGTATTTTGCATTCACGGTTTCAGGTGTAATGCATGATAAACGTTATCAGCACATATGAAACTTTTCTCAAGCATTATAACTTAACAATGTTGATTGTATTCTGTGATGCTAACTGTATGCTTATATATGTGATTGTGTTAACAGATTATTTTTTTCCTTGAACAACCTATACTTAATGGGAGAGCATGTTGGATAAAAATAGCTAAATATATGAGAGATCTAATTTTTGTTTGCTCTGAAGTGACCCAGAAACCACTGTAGTGCATGGTAGCAAACAAATAAAACACAGTAGAACTGCTCTATAAATGCTATATATATACAGCATTTAGGTTCTGTACCTGGGAAGTAAATTCTTGAAAAAATGTCATCTTTTAGAAGCAAACTCTTTGATCCGTATTGTTCCACTACATGAGTCAAGCATTAGTTATAACTTGGAATATTGTGCATTGCTTTTGTAACATGTATATTTTTTTAATATATGAAGATTGATATATGTATTTGAATACTGCAGAGATACTGCATACTTGAGTTCACTCAAGAGCTGCCAGAAAAGCAATAAGAAATGCTGTTTGTCATTGTTTTCAATGTTAGTTGACTTTTTAAAGCCAACATTTCTTATGTTAGTGTACACTTTTATTTTTTAATTGGAATGTGAGCCCTCAATCATATATAATTGAAAAGGAGAGAAATTCTACTTTTCCTGCTTAGTCTGTTGCATTTTTTTGGTTGAGCTTGTCTACAAAGGTCATAAGAACTGCAGAGAAACGTACCTGTAAGCGAAAGTTTTGTGTACGTTTGTTCTGTGTATGTAACGCTAGTTACCTATATCTAGCCTCTTTGACCTTTATATTTTTTTAAACAGTACACATATAATTTTTTCATTCACGTGTAAACAAAATGTGCTTAACTTTGTCATTAGCCATCATCCTGTAATCTAATTTGGAAGCAACGTTTATAAAATGAAACTAACCATTCATTTCATTACAGGGAGCATCTTCAAGTGAATAGTGAGTACAATATATTTACTTACTAATTTGCGATACTTCAGATCATTACTTAAATTATGGACACATGTTTAATTTTAGTAGCAAAGAATAACATTTATTGAAGTAGAAAACTATAATGAGGCTTTATTTAAATTAAAATTTAAAACTGTAGTGAGAACATTTTAATGATGGTAAATATATCAGTCCTTAAAATTAGCAATATATGAGTATGATCATAACCTATTCTACAGGCTTACTGTATTTGATGGATGCTGTTGGCTACTGAATAAGCATAGTAGTCTGGATTAGTCAGTGAATAGTAAGAATACTTCCCAGAAAACAGTGTTTTGGTACATGGCTTATTTTTTGTGATTTAAAGTATCCAGTTAAGCTAATATTTTGTATTACTTTAGCTATTCACAAACAATAAAAGGCTCTAGAAATGACTTTAAGCAATAAATGCAGACATTTTATTTTATGAGATAATGAGGGTCTAGTCATGTTGTCTATTAAAAGCTACCCTATAGTCAGCAATACTCTCTTTTATTAGGAGAATGATGTCAAGATGAAAATTAAAGCAATCCAGTCATGTAGCACTGCACAGAGCTTCCTAGTATATTGATTTAAAATGTGGATATCTGACTATATAAACTTCTTTGACTAATTAAATATTTAGTATGCATTCAGCCTTGGACAAACTTGTGAATTTTGGAGGTGGTAGCATGTTAAAATAAAAACAATGATCAATTTCTCAGCTTCCTCTTCTTCCTCAGACAGGAGATTCACTTAAAACGTTCTCGAGAGAGATCACTCACATAGTGGATTCTGCTAGAGATGCAGAAAGGAATTTTTCCACTTTCTGAGCAGATTAATTATACTTCTGGAAAAATCCCTTTTTCTTTTTGGACATCTTGAAAGTCTGTGCTTGCTCAAAACTACTGAAATACTTGAATATTTTCATCAGAAGCATATCTAATCTGGAGAAGCCTTGATTAAAATTCCCTTCTTTTTTCGTAGCAATAGAGCTTCCCATTTGAAGTGTAACATGCTTTTCCTCCAAAATGGAGTATTTGTATGTTTCCTGCATGTGTATATGCATAATACATATGTAATTTTCTACTGAGACTTCTACAACTGAAAAATACTGTGTTTTGTAGCAAAGACAAAAAAGCTAAACAATTAGGTATTAATGATATTCTTGTTGCATATTCAAAAGGTCTTTGCAAGCATTTCTTCTCCTTTTTTTCTTTTCACCATTTCAACCTGCAGAACTCTTCACTGTCACTTCAAATCACACAATTCTACAAAGATAAAACAACATTTAAACTCATTTGCTTTGGGAGGGAAATTGAGCATTTGCACCCAATAAGCCTGATTGTGGAACTGCATGCAAATTGTGTTTTGATTTATCTCTTTTGCACTTTTTTCCATTTGAATTGATCTTGCATTAATTTTGCCAAGCGGCTCTGTGAGGCTGCAGATGTTGCCCTGTGTTTAATAAATCAATGAGACAGATCTGAATGAATCACTTCAGATGGATTCTCTGCTCGGTTTGATGTCTAGATGTTATTCTTAGCTTGTTATCATGACAGATGCATTAATGTTCCCATACACTGCCAGCAATGTCAAAGAGATTGAAGCTTTTAAAGTGGCGGTATCCCCTTTTCCCCCTTCTGTTGGAATAACTAAATTGCCTTTAGGAATAGGTCAAAATATAAATTTAATCATGGCATCATTGTGGGGAAGATGCTAAACTTCTGATCATGTTATAATACAAAGTCAGACAAATACAGTTTCATATAGGGTGATTAATTATTCCAAAATAGTGTAGATCAATATTAAAATCTAAACATAGGATGGCTGCTTAATAGAGTAACCACTTTCTCAACATTAATATTTCATTGTAATAGGAATGATCCGAATAAATAATATAAGGCCAGAACATGTTAAAAGTGTTGCTATAAATAGAGTATCATTGTGTCCAAATTGA